TATATATATATATAGCGGGAAGGGGGCCCCAGGAGACAGCAGAAGAAGAGGGGCCCCTGGGTATATCTCCTAACTGGTGCAAACCCCTAACTCCTCTGCTGTCTCCTCCTGTACCCTGCAGGGGCCCCCATGGTTATAATAGGGGCCCCCAACCCCACACCTATAAAGGGGGCCCCCATTTCAATAATATATGGGGGGCCTCCACCTTAATAAAGAGGGGGGGGAGGAGCCTACTGTAATACAAGGGGCCCTGAACCCTATAATAGGGCCCCACAGGGGGCCCCCTGTTCTATTATAAGGGGGGCCCCAACTACTCTTATGATAGGGGCCCCCCAATCCTGCAATAGGGGCCCCTAGTTAAAGAACTGGGGCCCCCAGTTCTTTAATATGGGGCCCCCAGTCCTATAAGGAGGGGGGGGCCCCTATTGCTCTATTAGGGGGGGCCCTACTCCTCTATTGGGGGGGCCCCCAGGCCAATGAGAAGGCACTTAACGAATGCTATTTGCTGTGGTGCTGCTGCTGTTGCTGCTGCTGCCAGTGCATTGCATGCACTGGCTTGTGGGGTGTATATACACCCGAGGGAACAGAAAAGAGAGACACGCTAGGGGCTACTGTTGCTGCTGCTGCTGGGGCTGAGGCTGCTCCTGCAGTTGCAGTTGCTGCTGAGTAGCAGCTGCTGCAGCAGCAATTGCCTTTGCTGCTGTTTTTAAAAAACCCAAGTCCTGGGGGGCCCCAGCGGGAGCAGCAGCAGCAGGCCAGTTCGCTCTACCTGCTGCTGCTGTTGCAGCAACACTGCAGCAGCAGCAGCAGCAACTGTTGCTGCTGCTGCTGCAGCAGATACAGCTGCGAGGCATTGAATTCCTCTTAACTTTTCTATTGCTTCGTAAGCGTCTGTCTGTTCTGCTGCTGCACTGCAGAAGCCCCGACAACAGTTATGCTTCTAGGGTTTAGGGTTTAGGGTTTAGGGTTTAGGGCCTCAGCAAGTGCTGCACAAAGGCGGGGACATCGAGGGAGACAGCAATAGCTGGGGGCCCCTGGGGGCCCCCCTTTGGGGGGCTCTTCTGCATTTCTTTGAACCCCAAGCCCTGAACAACTTTACTAGCGAGCTGAGGCACGAAGCACGTCACCTGCTGCAGCTGCTGCTGCTGCTGCTGCTGCTGCTGCTGCTGCTGCTGCTGCTGCTGGTGTAGTATGAGGATTGCTGCACAAAAGAAGGCCTCTGCAATTCCTTTTCTTCTCTCAGTAGAGTTAATAAAGAGGCGAGAGATATGAACAGTTTTATTTTCGTGGTAGCCTCTATAAGCAATATACCCTATTAATTTGCATGCAGGGCCTGGCCTCCGCAGCCCCTGCTGTTGCTGCTGCTGCTGCTGCTGCTGCTGAGGCTGCAGCAGCAGCAAATAGTTATGCGCTGCTGCGTCGGTCGAAGCCCAGGGCCATGCCTTTTGTCTCTCTGCTGCAGATAAAGAAGAGACAGCGACATCCCCCAGCTCCAGCTGCTCTAGCTGCTCTACTGTCTCCTCCCAATCTGCTGCTGCTGCTGCCGTTGCTGCTGCTGCTGCTGCTGCTGGGGGTGCTTTGTGGAGGATGCGAAGAGACATGGAGCGCAGCAGCAGCACACATGGGGCTGCATGCAGAGGCAGCAAAGCAGCAGCAGCACCACCACCACCAGCAGCAGCAGGAGGCGGAGGGACTGCTTCAGGGCTGTTAGGGCAGAGCGGCAGCAAATCGCCAAATCTGCAAACAGCAGCAAAACTGAGCTGCGCGTACACCTGAGATGCTTCGCAGCAACTCGAATTCAGCTGTACGTACACCGCAAGTCGATCCATATATATATTATATATACAATACATATACACCAAAAGCAGTAGGAGCAGCAGCAGCAGCAGCACAAGCTACAGCGGAGACAACGAAACAACTGCTGCTGCTGCTGCTGCTGCTGCAGTTGTGTGGTTGCTGCAGCAGCAGCAGCAGCAGCAACAGCTACCTGCAGCGCGAATAAACATAAGGCAGTGCGTTTAATAATCAAACAGAAGATCCTTCACTTTACCTCATGTAAATATTAATAATTGTTTTATTGATATATTTTATTATCTGATTTAAATATATTTTATTAAATTGTTTGTTTAAATATATTTTATTGTATTTAAATATATTATATTATTTATATTTTTTCTTACTTGTCTGTATCTGATAGAACGAAGTTATCCACAATGCTGCAGTCGGGTGCAGCAGCAAAAGCAACAGAAACGCAAATCTCATCATTAACAGGCAGCAGCAAGGGGCCCTCCTTCTGCTGCTGCTGCTGCTGCTGCTGGTCTTCGAGGCCCCAAGGAGGCGTGAGGGGGGCCCCATCTGCCTGTCTGTTGAAGGCTATATACTGCAGCGTGATGCCGACTCTTGCTGCTGCTGCTGCTGCTGCTGCTTCTAGTGCAGCAATATCTCGAACGCCTGCTTTGTATAAAGCCTCAACCTGCGTATACACCCCAAATAAACAAAAACATTATTCCTTCTTTATGCTTAACCAGCAAAAAGAGAAACAAACGACGATGAAGGGCCTCCAGCTGTACAGGCAGCAGCAGTAGCGGAAGCAGCAGCAACAGCAGCACGAAAAGAAAGAGCAACAGCAGGACCAGCAGCAGCAACAGCAAGATCAGCAGCAGCAAGAGCAGCACCAGCACCAGCACCAGCAACAGCACAAGCAAGAGCAGCAGCAACAGCAGCAGCAGCAGCAACAGCAGCAACAGCAGCAGCAGCAGCAGCAGCAGCAGCAGCAGCAGCAGCAGCACGGTAGCAAGTTACGTCTTTGAGTATGCAGGTGGCTTCTTCTGCCTTCGTCTTCTGCTGAGCGTTCATTCGTTTATTTCTTGAAGCCAAAGGAAGCCCCGACTGCATGCGCAGTGTGGGGCATATTAAAACTCGGGTGTCTATGCAGCTGCACTGCAGCAAAGAACGAAGACAAACTGTTTGTAAGAAATCCTTCTGCCCTAGATAAAGTAGGTGCGGGCGTACAAGACTCAGCAGCTTTAAAACAACTTGTCCTACGCCTTTGAATGCACACAAACAAACAAATGAATTAAGTAATTAATTAGTTTATTTATTTATCTTTTTATCTATCTTTTTATCTATCTATTTGTGTATTTATTTATTTATTTATTAAAATAGAGTTGATGGATGCGCAAGGCTCAGCAGCGTTAAAACAGCTTATCCTCCTATTTCAAGTAAACATAAATAAATAAACAAATTGATTAATTAATTAATTAATTAATTAATGCGAATGCAGCAGAAGCAACAGCACAAGCAGAAACGGCAGCAACAGAAGCAGCAGCAGAAACAGCAGCAGCAGCAGATGCAGGAACAGTAACATCAGCAGTAGCAACAGTAGCAGCAACAGCAGCAGCAACAACAACACCAGCAACAGAAACAGCGACAGAGGCAGCAGTACGAGATAAAGCAAAGACAAACAAACAAACAACCGCAAAGATAAAAGCTCATGGCAGCAGCAGCAGCAGCAGCAGCAGCAATAACAGCAATAGCAGCCACAGCAACATCAACAGCAACAGCAGCAACAGCAACAGCAGCAGCATGTCGTTTTGTATGTGTAGGTCTCTAGGTGTCTAATGCGTCATTCTATTTACACTCAAAGTGCTGCCGCTGCTGTTGTTGCTGCTGCTGCTGCAGCAACAGCAGCAGCAAGTGCTGTTGCTGCAGCAGCAGTCTCACCCGAGAAGAAGCCTGGCCGTCTCATTCCTTCGCCTCTGACAGCTTCAATGCGATCGAAGTTCAGCAGCAAATGCGCAAAAGGGGCCCCTTGCAGCTTACACCCCACAGGCGGAGCAGCAGCAGCAGCAGCAGCAGCAGGAGCAGCAGCATTATAATGAGGATACATCTCTGCTGCAGTAGGGAGGAATAGAACATCTACGAGGCCCGTAGCTCTGAGCATAGTGATGTCTTCGTCTATGTTCATCGGATAAGACTCAAAGTCCTCTTGCCTTTGAAATTGTGTTGGGTTTAGGAATATAGACACCCAGACTTCATCGCACATTCTTCTTGCTGCTCTAATTAAAGATATATGCCCCTGATGAAGACCCCCTAATGTAGGCACGAAGCCTAATCGACGTCGAGGGCCTACAAGGGGGCCCTCACCTGCTGCTGCTGCTGCTGCTTGCTGCTGCTGCTGTTCTGCTGTTGCTGCTAATACCCCACAACTAGGGCTGTACCCATCACGCAAATTGCTGCAGCAATCCCGATGTACACACACCTCGCGGCACGTCCTAAGAATCAACATCTCTCGACGAGAAGCAGCAGCAGCAGAAGCTCCTGATGCTGCTCCTGCTGCTGCTTCTGCTGCTGCTGCAGCTCCTGCTGCTGCAGCTTCTGCTCCGTTTACCTCGGGGGGCGCCATCGACTAACCAACCCGAAATCGATTTCCAATCTGGGGTTTGGGGGCTCGGGTTTAGGGTTTATGGTTTAGGGTTTGTGGGTTAGGGGTTAGGTCTTAGGGTTTAGGGTTTAGGGTTTAGGGTTTAGGGTTTAGGGTTTGGGGCCGCAGGAGACGTGAGCGGAGCGTGTCGAGACGGTAGCGGCTTTCTTTTTACGTTGTTCTTTTATTTTTATGAGGGAAAACAATAAAATTAAATAATTAAAATAATATTTAATTCAAAATGCTGGAAATTAATTCAAAAATTTAAAACAATACTCACAAAATATTCTCAAGCCATCGCAGCCGATGCAGCGAGGGGGCCCCTGGGGGCCCCACCACACAGAATCTGCAGCAGAAACCTTCTCTGTCTTTGTTTGCTTATGAGTAGGGTTTTAATTCTTTTCTATATTTGTTTTTTATTTATGTTGTTTAATTATTCTCTTAAAATGCTGCAGTTTGATGTCCTAATAAGTGCATTTGCTGCGGTGTTTGTACACACGCAGACAGCCGAAGCTGCAGATACACCGCAGCAGCATAACTGTATAAACTATAACTATATTATATTTTGATATATATATACATATATATATGTATATAATATATAATAGTAGCTTGCTTTATTCTCTATACATTTAAGATATTTAAATATGTTTGTCCTCTCGTTATACACCCGATATATTTGCATTTATGTTTATTTTTCTGCTGTCTTTGTCTCATCACTCGGCTGCAGGGCCCTCACCGCCGTTCCAGCCCCCGGTGGTGGGTACGCCGCTGCCCATGCGGGGCCCGCTGCTGCTGCTGCTGCTGTTGCTGCTGCTGCCGTTGCCGCTGCTGCCGTTGCTGCTGTTGGTGTTGTTCCTGCCGCTGCTGCGGCTGCTGCTGTTGGTGGTGTTTCTGCTGCTGATGTTGTTGTTGTTGTTGCTGCTGCTGGATAAGGCCTTCTTCAAAGCCCCCTGCCTGCCCCGGGGCGTTCGTTGCGTTTCTGCTGTCTCTGCTGCTGCTGCTGCTGCTGAAGTTTGGCTGTGTTGCAGCTGCCGCTGCACCACAGATCCCCCCCCAATTCGTAAAGTACCAGGCTTACGCGTCTCGCCCTTTTGCTGCTGTTGCTGCTGCTGTTGCTGCTGCTGTTGCTGCGGGTTACCTCCTGTCTTTGCGTTGCTCGTTTGTAGCGCTGGATTTCCTGTTGTTGTTTGCATGCGCCTAGAGAGAGTTCGTACCTCCATTGCTGCACTTAGTGACTGTGGGGCCCCTTTAAGGGCTGCTTTGTGCTGCTGCTGCTGCTGCTGCAGCGGCTTTGGGTTTCTCTTTATACTCCTGATCATCTCACCGCTTCGGGGGTACTCGTTTGCTGCTGTTGCTGTTGCTGCTGTTGTTGCTCCCACGGGTTCTCGCTGCTGCTGCAGATCCTGTTGTTGCCGCTGCCCTTCCTCCAGCTGTTGCTGCTGTTGTTGTTGCTGCTGCTGCTGCTTCAAGTTGCACCTGGCTCCTGTTGCTTCCAGTGTGACTGCGCACGTCTCCTGCGTGCTTCTCCTTGCTGCAGCAGCAGCAGCAGCAGGAGCGGTGAGCCTCTGGCCCTTAAGGCGTCGGGCCCTTTGGAGGCCTCTGTTGCTGAGGCTTCGGTGTCGCCGCTTCAGGAAGGTGCCGTTGCTGCTGCTGCTGCTGCTGCTGCTGGGTACGCCGGTGCTGCTGCTTCGTTTTGCTGCGCCTGTGGGGTCTCTGTGGGGCCCCCTTGGGTAGGAGGGCCCCGCATGCAGCTGCTGCTGCATTGCTTTTTCTGCTGCCTCTGTTTGTTTTGTCTCTCTTATTAACAACTCCTTTTGTGTCTTTTCTTCTAGTGTCTCCTCATTAAGTACATAATCTGCTGCTGCAACAGCAGCAGCAGTCTCCTCCGGGGGCCCCGAATGCTCGGCTGCTGCTGCTTCTGCTTCTGTTTTTCTTGCTGCTGCTGCTGCTGCTGCATTTGTTGATGCTGCGGCTGATTCTAGTGCTGCTACTGCTGCTGCCTCTGTTGATGCTCCTGCTGCTGCTGCGGGTCCTGGTGCTGCTAGTACTGCTGCGTCTGCTGCTGCCGCTGCTGCTGCTGGCTCAGCAGCAGCAGCCAGCTTTAAGGACAGTTCCTCTAGCCTTTTGTCTATGCGCTGCAACTCTTGCAAAGCCGCATCAGAGTATCTGTACACCGCAGCAGCAAATCCCTAAACCCTAAACCCTTTGCTTCTCCCCCGATTAGTTCATTGAGGGTTTATGATTTGGATTTGCATGCATTTAGGGTTTAGGGTTTAGGGTTTACGGATCAGGGGTTAGGGTTTAGGGTTTACAGCTTAGGGCGTACGGTTTACAGTTTACGGATTAGGGCCTACGGTTTAGGGTTTAGGGTTTAGGGCTTAGGGTTTAGGGTTATGCGGGCTTACGCAAAGGCAGCCCCACTACTCCGTGCAGCAGCAGCTTCAGCGTAGGCCTCCAGCGAAGCGCATGCAGCGGAGCAGCGTTCCGCTGCTGTTGCTGTTGCTGCTGCTGTTGCTGTTGCTGTTTCTGCTGCACCTGTTGCTGCTGCTGCTGCAGGTTGTGTTTCTGCTGTTCCTGCTGTTGCTGCTGCTGCATCTGCAGGGTGTACTGCTGCTGTTGCTGCTGCTGCTGCTGCGTGTTGCGGTGTCTGTACAGCTGATCGTGATGCCTTTGCTGTCTCTGTCTCCCTGTGTCTCCTCTTCCGTTTTGCTACGAACACCCATTGCCCAGAATCTGCTGCTGCTGCTGCTGTTGCTGCTGCTCGTGTTGCTGCTGCTGCAGCTTCATCAGCGGCGTCTTCTGCGGCTGCTGTCTTGGCTTCATCACTGGCTGCTGCGACTGCTGCTGGCTCTGTTGCTACTGCTGTTGCTGCTGCCTGCTGCAGCTGCTGCTGGCCCATGCGAAGGGGGTTGTTGCACGCAGCACCAGCAGCAGAAGCAGCAGCAGCAGCAGCCGCAGCTTTTTTCAGTCTCCTTCTAAGGTTGCTGGGCACTCTGTTTAGGTTTTTTTCTTCTGCTGCTCCCTTCAGCCGCCGCATGCGCTGCAGCAGCAAATCTCCTGAGCCGCTGCACAAAGTGTCTCCCGATAGCAGCAACTGCATCTCCATCTCGAGGGTCTCCATAGGTAGCAGCGCAGCAGCAGGAACCTCCGTGGGAGCAGCTGCAACAGCTGCTGCTGCAGCACTGCTGCCAGCAGCAGCTTCACAAACTCCTGGCCATTGACCCTCAGGCTGCTGTTTCTCCTGCTGCTGCTGCTGTTCTTTTGCTCCCCTGGATACTACCGGTCCTGCTTCTGCTGCTGCTGCTTCTGCTGTTGCTGCTGCTGCAGTTCTGTCGGCTGCCTGAGCTGCACTCGAACCTGAGAAGCATTCTATTAGGGCCGCTCTGCAGCAATAACAGCAGCAGCAGTAGCAGCAACAGCAACAGTAGCAGCAACAGCAGCAACCCTTACTTCCAGTGTTTCCTTGCTTGGTTTGAGTTGTATTCATTTGCTGTTTTATCTTTAGCTGCCCATGCAGCTGCAGCAGCAGCAGCAGCAATAGCAACACCAGCGACAGCAGCACCAGCAGCAACAACAACAGTATGCCTAGCAAGACAGCAGCAGTAGCAGAGCCACCAACGGCGAGCTCCGCAGCAAGCCCAGCAGCAGCAGCAGCAGCAGAAGTAGCAGAAGCGGCAGAAGCAGCAGAAGCAGCAGCAGCAGCAGCACCTGAGTTGCTGCCTTGAAGCAGCCATAGCTGCTTCGACTTCCTGCAGTCTCCTCTCTGTCTCCTCCAGCTGGGCGTCGTATGCCTCTACCTTATCCCAGCCCTGCAGCACCTGCTGCAGCTCTTCTAGCTGCTGCTGCACCTCCTGCTGCTGCAGCAAACCCCCTGTCTGCATCAACTGCTGCTGCTCCCGCAACAACAACTCACGGACTAGACGGTTCGTCTCCTGCTGCTCTACAGCAACAGCAACAGCAGCAGCAACACCAGCAACAGCAGCAGCACCAACAGCAGCACCAGCCCCAGCAGCAGCAACACCAGCAGCAGCAACAACAGCAGCAGCAACAGAAGCAACAGCAGCAGCAGACGCAGCAGCAGCATCCGTTTCCAGCATCTGTTGGAGGTGCACGAGTTCCTGCAGCAACGCGCTGCCGCAGCAGCAGCATCACCAGCAGTAGCAGCAGCAGCAACAGCAGCACCATCACCAGCAGCACCAGCAACACCAGCAGCATCAGCAGCATCAGCAGCATCAGCAGCACCAGCAGCATCAGCAGCACCAGCAGCAGGGCAGCACCAACAGCAGGGTAGCACCAACAGCAGCAGCACGGCAGCAGCAGCAGCAGCAGCAGCAGCAGCAGGATACATGTTTACTGTTTTTTGTTGGTGGTTTTGTCTGGGGTTCATATGCATCACTCCAGTCTAAGCAGCATATCTGCGACTTCTTGATAGCTTCTACACTTCCGGGTCCCTGCGTGTCTTGCTGCTGCTGCCGCTGCTGCCGCTGCTGCTGCTGCTGATGATGTTGCTGGTGTGTTTGTGTGTTGCGGAGGGTGTTTGGGGTGTACGTGCTGCTGTGGCTTTGCTGCTGCATCTCTTCTTGAAAGTAAGCAGAGAGGAAGCAAGGAACGAAGTCTGCTGCAGCATTTTCTTCTTTCGGGTTTGTCAAGCAGAAGACCCCCTCCTCTGCACTCATCTCTTCTTCAATTGCGCTCCTGCAGCAGCAGCAGCAGCAGCAGCAGCTGTAACGGTAGCAGCAGCAGCAGTAACGGGAGCAGCAGTAGCAGTAGAAGCAGCAGCAGCTGTAACGGTAGCAGCAGCAGCAGCAGTAACGGTAGCTGCAGCAGCAATGACGATAGCAGCAGCAGCAGTGACGGTAACAGCAGCAGCAGTAACGGTAGCAGCAGCAGCATCAGTATAAGCAGCAGTAGAGGTAGCAGTAGCGTTAGCAACAGTAGCGGCAGCAGCAGTGCTAGCTGTAGCAGTAACAGTAGCAGCAACAGCAGCAGCAACAGGTGCAGCAACAGCAGCAGCAGCAGCAGGAGTAGCAGCAGCAGCAGGAGTAGCAGCAGCAGCAAGCTGGATGTGAAAATGCATGCATTGCAAGCATGTTGTTGTTGCTTCTGATATCGCTGGCCGTACATCTGTTGTTGTTGTTGCTGCTGCTGCTGCTGCTGCAGCAGAGAGAAAGGCATACTGTCAGCTTCACCGAATGCAGATTGGGGCCCCTGCTGCAGCAGCCCCTCAAGCTGCTGCTGCTCTGGCCCCAGCAGCTGCATATGAAATTCAGTAACAGCAGACTGCTGCTCCTGCTGCTGCAATCCCTCGCAGCCGCTGCTACTGCTGCTTCCGGCTGTTCTGTTGCTACTGCTGCTGCTGCTGCTTCTGCTGCTCCTGCAGCGGCTGCTAACACTTGAGAGGGGCCCCTCACTGGCTCCCTCCTCTGCTGCTCTCCTTTGCTGCAGCTGCAGCCGCAGCTGCTGCTTCATCGTGGGGGCCCTAGAAGAGGATTGTATGGGTGCTTTTTCTTTTTTGTGTGTCTCTTGCAGCTCCTCCTGCAGTGCAGCTGCAGCTGCTGCTGCTGCTGTTGCTGCTGCTGCTGGTTGGTCTGCTGCTCGACTTGCTGCCGCTGCAGCAGCAGCAGCAGCAACAGTAGGCAGCCTCGTCTCCTCTTCCATAATTAAGGCTGCTGCTGCAGCGAGACCCGTGTGTTGTTTGAGGTGTACGTACACCCCATCTCGCAGAGAAATGAATTGTTGCTCTTATTGTTTGTTTAAGGGGATTGAGAGAGGAATGGGCTTATTCAGCAGCAGCAGATAATGCTGCTGCTGCTGCAGCTGCTGTTGCTGTTGCTGCTGCTGCTGCACTCCTTTTAGTACTTTGTTTTATTTTGTGTTTGTGGTTTTTGTTGTTTAAGGCCTAATAAATGCTGCAGCAGAATGGAGCTGCCTCTTCTCCTCACAGTCTATCAGGCCCTTTTAGAACCCTAAACCCTAAACCCTAAACCCTAAACCCTCCCAGGCACGAGGACCCTATCTCCTTCGCTGTCTACAGGGTTTAGGGTCTAAGGCTTAGGTTTTAGGGTTTTGAGGGTTTAGAGATAGGGTTGTACAGTTTGTTCTTCTTCTGACATGTCTGTCGTCCTCCTTCGTAGTGTTTATTGCTTAGGGTTTAGGGTTTACAGTTAAGGGCTTAAGGTTTAGGGTCTAAGGTTTAGGGTTTAGGGTTTAGGGTTTACGGTTTAGGGGGAGTCCGTTAGAAGGCAAGGAAAGTGAAGAAGAGGGCGGGAGGGGCCCCTATAGGCCCCAAAAGGATATATTGAGTTTAATTTAATTGCAGCAAAAGCATTAAATGATTTGTTATAAATAAAAGAATATTTTTTAGTCTTCTTTGTCTGCATAAACCGCAAGAAGGAGCAGCAGAGGTATAGTTTTTTGTATGAAGACACCGCAGCGTAAGCCTACTGTATTAAATTCTTTTTGTGTATATTTACAGTTAAATTTAATTAATTTGTTTTTTGTTTATTTATTTTTATTTATTTTTATTTAATTCGACGAACTTCTACAAAAAAATGCTTCGACAAGCCCCCAGCAAGCTCGCTTGGGGGCCCGGCTGCCCTTCTATTATTATATTTCTACGTCGATTGCAATTGTATATTTATCTCTAAACTATAATTATTAATGCATTAATTTTAATATTAATATTATTTAAGTAATCAATCTGCATAGTTGAGCTAAAGAAAGGCATTTCTTGTCTATATTCAATACAGAGAGACATATATATATATATATATATATATATATATATATATATAT